GAGTGAATATGCCTAATCCTAAAAGTTTACATACTGTATGAGTTCATTTATACAACATTCTTAAAAGGACAAAGTTATAGAAATGGAGCACAGATTAGTAGTTGCCAAGGATTAAGGAGCGGTGGGAGGAAGGTGGGATGAGGATGTGAGAATGAAAAGTTGACATGAGTGATCCTTGTGGAGATAGAAATGTTCTGTATCTTGACTGTATCAATGTCAACATCCTGATTGTGACACCGTACCATAATTTTGCATTATGTTGCCATTTGGGGAAAAGTGTGTGAAGGGGTCCCTCTGTATTATTTCTTACAAGCTCATGTGAATCTATAATTATCTCAAAATAATAAAACACCAATTTAAAAAAATCAGTCAGTAAAAACAAACAAACAAAAAACAAACTTCAATTGTGCTCATGTTGAGAAACTGATTAGTAGGAAAGCCAGACATACCAAATGAGGAAGCTAAGAAGGTCTGTGAACCTGGTTGGGAGGAAAATCAAGGAAGGTTCCACAGAATTCATCACATTTAGATTGAACCCTGCAGAACAGGTTTCCAGGAGCAGAAGATAGGGGGAAATTTTTTGTTGTGAAGAATGGTCAAAAGCTGTAACGTCATGTCTCAACCAACTGAGCCACCCAGGTGTCCTGTAACGTCGTGTCTCAAATATCCAGCAAGCAATCATGAGGTAGTCTGGGCCTAGATCAAGGGGAATATTGAATAATAAGAAATGCTGAGTTTCAAGATGTGAGTTATAAATGTAATCGGTTCCTTTAGCAGTGAAGCAAAGTTACTCTTACACTCTTGACACAGCTTTAGAAGCAGGGAGAAAACAGTGGACCACCTACTGGCCACTCCAGTAGGCTAAATAAACCTGGCAGTAGGCAGCCGAGGCTCCTCGACAGGTAGGGTTGGACTTAGGCTCTCATAGGCAGTGAGAGGCATTATCCGACCTTGGTTCCAGTAATATATCTGGTGGTTGTCCAGCATCTGCATTAGAAAGGAGAGAAGTCAGAGACAAAGAAGATAGGCAATGATGAGGTCCTACACTGGGAAAATGGAAAATGGAACAGAAAGATTAAAAGGATAATGGAGATATTTCAGGGGACTTGAAGAAGAGCTTGGGAAGAGAATTCTGAGCTGATTCTGAATTTCCTAGTCCAGGATGGAGGTGCCACATCTCAGGAAGTCCCTTCCTAAGATAGAAACACAACAAGACAAATGGGATATTTGATTTGTTTGAGATACATGAGGTGTGAGGTGCTGCTGGCCATGTGCAGATCGCTGGAGATTACTTCTATAGTTTGCGAGAGAGTATCAGACTGAAGATAATGTCATCAGAGGTTGAATGAAGTCACTTAAGTGAGAAGAGGTTCAAGAACAGAACATGGAAGAATATCAACGTTCAGGTTAAGGAAAGTATAGGAAAAAAAGAGACCAGAGATGCAGGAGAAAGTCTAGAAGACAAAACTCTGAAGCCCAGGGAAATCACGCAGAGGACATTATACACAGTAGATCCAAGATCTACATTATACAAAGTAGATCCTTTGGGGTCACGCATGGGAAAAGGGCAAACAATGGGACACTTAGGCAAACAGTCATTGCAGAGGAGGGCCTGGGAGGAGCAGAGCCAGATGTGAAGGGCTGAGGGCACAGTCAGGAATCAGGCTGGGAGTGCCCGGCAGCTGCCGCTAGACTTTTATTTTTTCAATATAATTTGAAATACTATGATTAAAGCTATATTCCTCCCGTTAATTTTCTCACACATGGTGAGTGGTTCTCTGGCATCACTTTAATCATTATATATGTTTGTAAAAAAAAAAAAAAAAAACCCAAAACTAGTGGACACAGGGAATAACTGAGTAGCGAGGAAGTCTTTTACCAAAGAGTTGGTTATTTTTAATTCAAATCATTTGCTGTATATTTTGTTTAAATACAGCTTCTGTTATTAGAAACTGAATATTGGTGGGTAAAATGGAATTGGTAATTTACATTTTAGCTTTGAACATTTTTTTAAATTTCAGAACTAGGTTATGGAACGTCTGTGTGTA